AACAGGCGCTGGTGCAACTATGTGGTTGATAGTATGTAAATTATCATTCTGAAGAGAGAACTACTTCAGACTCTATCTATACATATATATCTATATTGTCTATGTGTTTGAGGAACAGTCCCTCTGTCTCGTATCCAATGGGATTCTTCACATGCGTTGGCCCTACTTGTTGTAACACCTCAATGTGTTGTAGCTGTATGGTACAATACTGCTGCCCTGCCAAACTAGATGCGGATGCCTTGATATTCTGTTGAGTGGCATCATATATCCGCGCATTGATGTCGATCAATCGTGCGCTACCAATGTTAAGCCAGGCTCATGTTGACCAACATGCGCTACAGGGACCAATCGGTTTACCAGCTATTACAGTATACAACCATTTAATTGAAGATACCAAGTGTATACAACCATATACATCACAACCCTTCAATACCACGCAGTAAAGTTATTTTTGTCTCATCGGGCCACCTGTCACCGAAAGCCTCAATCAACTTGTTTTCCCAGAGTGGAAAGAGAGAATTCCAGCGTTGCCTCGTCCCCATTTTCATCCGGTTTAATTGATTCCTAGCCCTTGCTATTCGGGTCGTGTCCCAATTGATCCTGTCTAAGAATCGAATCAAGTTCTCTGGCTTCTCTTTGCCGTTAGGTCCCCCTGATTCGAAAAATGCACTGGCTTGTCTTTGAGCTTTATCCTCTAGGGCTTTTTAAATCATTAGGAACACTCGTGAGTCACTGTAACCAAACGTATTCCAGTACAATCTCAAGGCTATCAAGACTCCCCTACGCCATGCTGGATACATGGACTTTCCCCCTTGTCAAATTGGAGCTTAGACGTTTGACCTGAAGCGGAATAGAAGGGCGAGAAGAGGTCGGATGGATCGCTAGAGATGGCTGAAGGTCTACTGGAGATTACTAGAAGGAGCTAAAGGTTTGAAAGTTGGGTAATATAAATTGCTAAAATGTCTAGAGGTTCGAGTGGGTACTAATGATAACTAAAAGTACAAAAGGTAACTGGAGGTAACTAGAGGTAATCCAAGGTAATCCGATGATGGTAGTTGTGACAGAAAACTAAGCGTAGAGAACTTCATATCTACAGACCATGCCATCATATATATACCTGCCCTCCTTCCACTAGCTCATCATAACATAGACCTTAACCCGGTATCAACATGATACCATGTGTCAAGGACTGTACTGTTGTCATAGCAATATAGAAAGAATGGTAGAATTATATACTGTAGGAAGGATCGGAAGAGGAATCCTTACACCCCTCTATACACCGGGAACTTTGTTGGTTTTAATTTTTCTTGGTGTTTTGGTGGGTCTTTTCGTATGTAAACTTCGGGCATCGAGTCGGAAGAGCGTCTAGGGCGTGGCTCTCCATCTTCCAACCGTTGGCGCAGCTCTTTCGGTTCCTGGAGAAGGGTTACAATATCAATTGGTTCGTTATTTGGTAACTCGCTCATTTTGAAGACTTTAGAATCTTTCGAATCTCTCTAGTAATCATCAGGGTTTCTTGTTTCACAGCACTATGACTCCACCATATAACATTCTCGTTTTTCACGTATTATATATCCGTTTAAAATTATCGTCGTATCTTTGGTCGCAGTGTCTTTCTTCGGTTATCTCTCATCGTCGTATCCTGCATCAAAGGTGATATTTGAATTATGTGTCACAGATCAACTATAGAAAGCAAGGAGCATTTGTATGGATGATTGTTGAAATTATGGAGTTCAGAGATGAGTCAGGTGATGCTTAATGTTATGAATTTGTTAGATTTAATCTGGATGTGGTGATGCAGGGGTTATCTTCTTAATTCAGTTAGATCTGAGGCAACAGGATTTGGATTTGTTCAGGCTGGAAATTTGAATTTGTTCTTTAGTTCTAACAATTTTGTTACTTTTACGATTATGGTAAAATTTGCTTATTGGGAACTCGATATTTTGATAATATGATAATCTGAACATATGAATTCGTAACTTTGATAATTCGAGCCTCGATTACCTTCATCATACCTTCGCACATTTGACATTTGCACCTTCGACCTTCGACCTTCGACCTTCGACCTTCGACCTTCGACCTTCGACCTTCGACCTTCGACCTTCGACCTTCGACCTTCGACCTTCGACCTTCGTAACTTTGTAACCTCGAACCTTCGATAATTTGTCTTTGTCGAAATCGACTCGACCTCTGCAGCTTAACAGCTTCGAAAATCTGCCAATAAGTAGATTCATAACACTTAATGGAAGTAATGGATGAAGGGTTTGGTTGTTGAGTTTTCTATAATTTCTGAGATTTCTGTGTTGGGATACACTTTGTCGATCCTACTAGGCTCGATAATTAGTAGTCCAGACCGACTGGTGTTTGGCGAACGGAGATTGCGTATACCCTGTGCTAGCGTTTTTTTTTTTTTTGCATCAGATTTTAATTGCGTATGCAGCTATCTAGCTATGACACAATATCAGAGAAAAGTACAGAAAAGATGACTCAGTTTATAATAGGAGCACTCATGCCTCGGATTTCATTTGCAAGTACCACTGCGAAGTTATGGTGGCTTTTTCTTCACCCCAAGTCAACCCTCATCCGTGAATACCCATCCAGGGGAACGTCTCAAAAACCCTGAGTTATCCAGACATGCTGCCGTCATCCATCGACTTTTCTCCGCGCGAAGTTTAATCTGAGATGTCTCTTTCCCAAGTGGAGTAGGTGACCAGGCTACTCAAACCATACCAGAGAACACCACCAGGAGGCGGATCACAAAACCTTCCATCGTCGGCTTGTTTTTATAGTGTCAGCTGCACTCTTGCAAGCGAAGTCTTGGCGCGCAGAAAGCTCAATTCGTAAAACTCTTTCCAAAATTCGAAATTTCACGCCCGTCGAGAATGTATCCCTCTTCTGCATCATCTTGTAAACTTGTCCTGATCCCTCTCACGTCCATCCCAAAGAGCTATCTCCCAGATTTGTGCTCCACGCTTTGCTTCCTCCGTCGGGTATAAATATCGTCGTGGGCGTGTATTTAGTGACCGGCTGAGGCCAGAAAAAGTCGACGAGAGGTATGGTCATTGAAACAAGGATGTACTAGGTCTTACTTGTAGACTTGATGAAGCCTAGTTGAGAATCGGACTCTTTGGGAGTGAAAGATTGACATGGTGGAGTAATTTGAATTTTTGCCTCGTGGGCCAACTTCTTTGATATTGCGAAATTTGACTGAACTTGGCTCTGGGAGAATATTTGACTCCCAGGTTCGTAGAAGACACCGCGTACCGGTGTTCAGTCTTGCCCTCATATCAAACCCTTCACCAATGACTGTCATTAACCATCACCTGATTTATCTCTGTACTCCATAATTTCAACACTAAATCCGAAGACATAGTGATCCTTCTGAAGCGTTCGAAGAAGCCGGCCAGGTAGGCGCTGTAGACTTGTGGGTACCTCGGGAAATTCAAACTCTGCCTTCCTAGCTTCCTTCCAACCCCTTCCCGTAGGTCGTGCTGAAATGTCAGAAAAGTCTTGACAGAGCGTGATTGCTGTATGGTAGCTCAGCCCAACTTCTTTTGTGCCGTCCAGGGCGTTGGGGAGTGCCGTCGGCTCATCAATAAAAGAAGCCCTCCTAGCTGATTAGCCGAAATCTCGGTCTTGGCACCCACAAGAAAATCCAAAGTTGAAAACTCCTCAAAAATGTCAGACTCAGCATCACCTTCACAAACCTGTTCCCCCTTTCGTTCCACATCTCAGCCGCTTGTTATTCCTCGAGTTGTTTGTCCCATTAGAGCAACAGTCCCCCAAAAGCCAAGACCCAGGCTTTGTATTTTCCGACTTGATTTCCTCCTTGCGGGCATATATGGCGTCGTAAATTTATTTGTAGTGGGCGATTGCCGGCAATGATTGAGGCAAGCTCCCGTCTGCAATTGAGGTGACGCCTTTATCGGTCGTTGAGGCAGGATGATGTGTGGTTAGAAAGAGTTGAGGACTCGGAGGATAATGGTAAGTACTGCATGATTGAGAAGTCGTCAAATAGAGATGTGCGTGTGTTTGCTTTCGACTTCGACTCGAATGCGATTCTTCTTGGCTATCCCAGATATGCAGAGCACGCAGAGCGACTTCAACGGCACCGCTAGAAGGTGAAGAATTCGTCTTTGCCGGCGGATGGGGAATTTGATAGTCTAATTAGCCAGACTTACAAATAAGTTATTCTTGGCATTCCAAGATATATTATATTTCAATAATGAGTAGTAACTTGTCGCCCGTCAAGCTTCAGGTTGATCACAGCTAAATTTAAGTATGTGGGTTGAATGCTCGATTCCTGCGGTCCTAGGTAGAGTTCAAGATGGAAAGGCATGATATCTCAGTATAAAAATGGAATCAAGCTGAGTCCTTCAAATCTACCAAGGCCCGCTGCTAACTTGGTATTGTGCTATCCACCTACCTCCTTCACCAAAAGCTCTGTACACACCAGCCATTTTCCCACTGAGTCCATGGCTCCCATGACAAAGATCCGGGGGATTCCGACTAGTGAAAAATAAATGGCTCGATTTTGCTGCCGCCAGAACGTAGGATCCCCATTTTCAATTCAAGTCGAATCGTAATAGACAAGAGAGGGAAGGAAAGAGCCAAGATATATGGAATTAATACCTTTTACATATGCCAATTTTGGCGCAAGACTAGCCTGAGTTCACTGAATCGATCACATCCATCCGAAATAACCCCTTCTCATACGGTCCATCCAAATCTACCCTAGAGTAGATATATATACCACAGCTGCGCACCATGTTTTGCTAGCACATTCATCTTTTTTGGGTCATTTCAAATTTACCTATCGAGTCATTCAAACCATCTCTCATCTAGCTCGTACACGCATCTACTGCCCTCTCAAGCGCAATCGTGCCGAATCTTCAAACATGCAGTTATCACCTTTATCTGTTTGCCTTGTAACCTAGCTGATCTCTCTTGCATCTGTGGTGCAATGTGCTTGGCATTGTGATAATGATTGTGTAATCAGTATGGGACATATTAGACAATCTGCCGATGTACCAATAAATGAGAACCACGAATTTTGTCGACTAGGAGTACCAGATGATATAAAAGACCTTCGCTGGCGGGATCTCAAAGTCCCGGACGAGTTTCTCGACATAGGTGGTTAGCCTCCTCTACCACACATGCAGTCAGCTTCCGCATTGCTAAACTTTACACAGGCAAGCATTACAGCTATCAAGCAGTATACATGCCCAATGGATCGGTCCACAGCGTGTGGATGGTTGATTATGTTCCGGACAATTATAAATTTGAGAAGTGTGACAAATGTTAGCTGGAAACAAGGGTAATGGTAACATCCGCTCAACTGACAGCCAGAGCGATGATATGGTGCAATACTGCTAAGGATAGCCAGGTCGTTGGTACTCAACTAAATACGGAACGCGTATTCAGACTCATACAGACAGAATTGCGCTATACGTGGGTAGCCAGGCTCTACTCGGAAATTTTGGAAATAGTAGTAATTCTAAAACAATCGCATTGAACAGGTGGGTGGGTGCGTGTGTTTATTGTAATATTGAGTCTTCGACTATCTAGCACATTGGGCTCCTCTCTGAACTCGGACACTCCTTGTTTAGTGCTCATATCCTCTCATGATACTTGCAAGATAATTGATATATTGCCCGTGATGAATTCCCATTCACCTGAGTGTTTAACTGTGGAAATCGGCCACCTCCTCCTCGGAACCTTTCTGCATTAAACAGGTAATGGATAACATGGCTGGTATTCAGCGCCATTTTGTACAAGCCTGAAAATTCCGGGTTTTATTCAGTATTGATATGGGACTTGTTCATCATTATCTAGGAGAATCAGATCAAAAGTTGTAATGTATTAGATTTTAAGTACGGGTAGATTCTAGAGGTCATCCATAATCAAAGAAGGCAGAACTCTAATGTAAATCTAATCTAACCAGTACGAATATCAAACTTGCTGTAATTGCGTATCACGTGCAAGTCTGTTTGCGTGCCGGCATCTTCTTTTCGATAATTAAATAATTGAAATCGTCTTTTATGAGTCTGTCATTAAGGAAATATTGACCCCTCAGTCATTGAGGTTGTATACGTATTGATTCAAGTAACTACTGAAGTGAGACTAAGAACAGAATTTGCAGTCACGTGAAGATCATCAACGTGGCCCACTTAAAAGCCCCAATTATTCTAAATTCTAACATCTGTACAGTGCCTCTGGGTTGGAAATGGTAAAACTTCAAACTGGGCTGTTTAAGGGATTAGCCCTGTAGGCACAGTTAGGCTAGCTCGCAATAGGTTAGACTGTCTCTCGTCATTGCCCCGCTTGCCATGAAGTTTGGTCCAATCGTGTTCTTCTAATAATCGCTTGGAGTAACACATTTTCAACGATACTCTTGACTGCCCAACCAACATAGCCTCAAACTCTTAACATCACTATCAATTCATCCTCTATTCTGGCAAACAATGTCTCTTCAAAAGTCTGCTTCAGGAACTAAGGTTCGCAAGCATCTAACTCGCAATCAATGTATTGAAATAAGAGCATTAAGAGGACTTGGCTTGACATTACAACATGTATCCGACGAACTTGGCTTCACAAGAAGGCAAGTGCAATTTGCGTGTGCTCGAGAGACTGAAAATCCCAAGCCTCTCCAAAGACGCTCACCCATATTAAGCGCGGAACAAGTTGATGAGCTTGAGGCTTTCGTCGGGAAATCTCCTGAAAATCGACAGATGTGCTATTTGGAATTAGCGATGGGATCCTTCAGCCATTGGAGATGCAATGAGCATTATCTTTCAAATGCCCTCAATAAAATAGGTTACAGCAGATGCATTGCTTGGAAGAAGCCTCCGTTATATATGGTTAACATGCACGTAAGATGTGTAGCAGTGATAAAGGTAAATGGTGGGTACACAAAGTATTAGGATTGAGCAGACTAAAATAAAACATCTAGTATGCTTTCATTCTAGTTGAGAACCATACTGAGGGCTTCAATGTAGACTTTTGTAATACAGAGTAATTATTTTTGAAATAGATATGCATTTTTAGTTAATATCAATTGGTTTTCTTAATTTTTAATTTTAAATGAGGACCATTGTACTTTTCCTTTGGTGTTGAGAACTGTCCCCATTTGTTTTGATTTACACGGAATACTGTTTGATTGTACCCCTGCTTGCATAACTAGTCGACTAACTAGACATGGGCCTGCATGAAGATCTAACCAATCAAATCAACCTGCACATGGATCTAACCCCAGTTATTTTGAAAATTATACAATTACCATCCATAAGACACTGTAGTCTACACAGAGCATATGAGAGATGGGAGAATACTTGGTAGATTGTCTTCCCAAGGAAGAAGTTATGAAGCCCTATCGATTTATTCTCTTTCAACTACATCTGAATTCATTAAATCCTTACACTTGCCCACACCTCTTAATTTGATAATTGTCTGGAATATAATCAACCACCCACACGCTATGGACTGATTTATCGAGCCTGTATACTGCTTGATAGCTGTAATGCTTGTCTATGAAAAGTTTAGCAATGCGGAGGCTGACTTCATGTATGGTAGAGGATACTAACCACCTACAATGAGACACTCGTCCGGGGCTTCGATATCCCGCCAGGGAAGGTTTTTAATTAACTCTGGCACTCCTAGTCGACAATTGTCGCGGTTTGGATGTAATGTTTCTCCGGCAGATCTTCTAATGTGTTTCATTTCGATTACACAATCATTATGACACTGCCAATCACATTGCACCACAGATGCAAGAGAGATCAGCCAGGTTACAAGGCAAACAGATAAAGGTGATAACTGCATGTTCGAAGATTCGACAAGTTTGCGCTTGAGAGGGCAGTAGATGCGTGTACGAGCTAGATGAGAGATGGTTTGAATGACTCGATGGGTAAATTCGAAATGACCCAAAAAAGATGAATGTGCTAGCAAAACATGGTGCGCAGCTGTGGTATATATATCTACTCTAGGGTAGATTTGGATGGACCGTATGAGAAGGGGTTATTTCGGATGGATGTGATCGATTCAGTGAACTCAGGCTAGTCTTGCGCCAAAATTGGCATATGTAAAAGGTATTAATTCCATATATCTTGGCTCTTTCCTTCCCTCTCTTGTCTATTACGATTCGACTTGAATTGAAAATGGGGATCCTACGTTCTGGCGGCAGCAAAATCGAGCCATTTATTTTTCACTAGTCGGAATCCCCCGGATCTTTGTCATGGGAGCCATGGACTCAGTGGGAAAATGGCTGGTGTGTACAGAGCTTTTGGTGAAGGAGGTAGGTGGATAGCACAATACCAAGTTAGCAGCGGGCCTTGGTAGATTTGAAGGACTCAGCTTGATTCCATTTTTATACTGAGATATCATGCCTTTCCATCTTGAACTCTACCTAGGACCGCAGGAATCGAGCATTCAACCCACATACTTAAATTTAGCTGTGATCAACCTGAAGCTTGACGGGCGACAAGTTACTACTCATTATTGAAATATAATATATCTTGGAATGCCAAGAATAACTTATTTGTAAGTCTGGCTAATTAGACTATCAAATTCCCCATCCTACATCTTTGTCATCAGTACATCCCTCCCTGAAAGTTTAATTCGCATTAGCATTTATTTCACACCAGCATCCCAGCAGATAATTATGTCTCAAGCCGCGCCCGTAGTTTCAATTCTTACCATTTTATTTTTTTGAGTTGAAGATTCCGTGGAAAAGGTGGCCGAATTCCACGGGTAAACACTGAGCTGAATGGCTATTCATCACGCGCAATATATCGATTATCTGACAAGTAACATGAAAGAATATGAGCACTGTACATAGTAAGGCTGGGGTCAGAGAGGAGCCCAATGTGCCAGATAGTCGAAGACTCAAGCAGTCCAATAAGACACACATACACTATGTCTCAAATGTAGGTTATAAGTTTCTCTGATCTATTACCAACACACATGTATTCAGCCTTATATTTCTGGCTTATACATCTGTGTGGGGTTGGATGGTGCAGTTGTACACCATCCGGGTCGTTCTCCCAAGTAGATACTGGGTAGCTTGAATACCTACCCCATTTGAGACAGGAGAACGCCGGTTCGAATCCAGTCAGACCCACACACCACTCTCTCTCGCGGTGATATTGTACTTGTGGGTTGATGAAAGCACACTTGGATAGTCTCAGTTTTTCACGCTTCTCCCTGTGGTGGGTATGCACGGAAGAGGTTATACGCCGTAAGGGTTAACCTCGAGTGGTACCTGCAAATGAAATCTGAGTGTGAGTGTTTTAATCGTCAAATTGAGTCATCTTACTTAAAGTACACATCTTCCGATAAAAACCTGCATGGGCATTAAGGCGCCAAATCAGGTAAAATGAATTATATGTATATATATATATATCTGTATGTACACAGATCTACATTTACAGGCATCATAACTTATGATCCATGGAGATTGATTTTTTTTAAATCATTAAATGCGTATTCAGCTATCTAGCTATAACACATGATCGGTGCTATGTATACATGTTGGATGACTCTTTTGACGTTAGAGACACTCATACTCTGGATTTCATTCGCAAATACCACTATGAGGTATGATTGCTCACACAAACAGTCGACCCATGGAGATTGATTGTATACTGGTCAAAAACCACAGTTAATTAAATATACACACACACACACACCCACAATTTTTTGAAATTCGAATTTTCGAATATTCACCCTTTCCCCCTCTTCCTCCCTCTCTCGATATCGTGATATCGTACGCCCTTAATTCAAAATTTGTGAGCGACTGGCAGGCTACCAATATGCCCCCAGTTCGCAGTAAGCCATCCCGGGCGAAAGACATCGTAGATAACCGCAAGCACCTCAAACACGTTGCTCGACAGAAAGCAAGCGTCAAGTTGGGCCCACTAACTGCCGTTCAAGAGATGAACATCGACCAATTAATCGACGAAAGTACCATAGATTGCGATATCATAGATGTTGGCAACTTTGACATTGACAATATTCTTAAGAATCTGAAAAGACTACCTAACTCAATTCACTCCAAGCCAGATGCGACCGGAGCTGAAAATGCAGCGACGAGTCGCAACAATTTAGGGACAGCGACTACCGGACAGCATATACTTCCTCTCATTGAAGTCACTGTGCCAGCTATGAGACGGGCTGCGATTGCAGATGCTAACAAGTCAAAAGGTGCAGCATCTACCCCAAACCCCCTGGAAAATACACCAGGAACCACAGAAGAGAATCCTTCTCCTCACAGTGGAAATGAAGGCAGGCAGACGGAGGAATGCCCCCCCGAACTCAGAGCCTTAATTGAGGCTGAGGAACGCCGGGCCGCAAAAACTGCGGAAAATGTAAAAATTTGCACCGCTGCAATAAACGGTGTCGAGAATGCTCTGTCCCCCCTATCCAAAGGGTCGAGTGTTCAATTTATAGACTCTATGAAAGTCTACATTAGAGCTGCAATAGCTCAGTTCATGATCGCGGGACCAGGTACAGTCCTCCCATCATTTCCCCCACGCCCCGAAAGCAAGGCTACTAGTTGCAAGACCGCAGAATATGCTGCTGGTAAGCAAAGTGAGCCACAACGCGAAGCGGCTCAAGCCGAAGTGCGCCAGGCCAAAACCACTTGGACCCCGATCACCCGTAATGGTCTACAGACGCTCCCGGCACTTACAAAAGTCGCGCAGACAATGCCCAAGGCAGCAAACTCTACTCGAATGGCCCAAAATTCAACTGGGCCAACAAAACCGGCCGTGCAAGACGAACGTTTGTTTCTCCGCCTCGAAAAAGAACATCCCTGGCGAACACTCTCACCTTTCGGTGTTAGAGAAGCAATTACGCAAATGCTCGAAATCCCCCAAACAAAAATTGAGCATGTCTACCGTGTGCCAACTGGCTTCGCAATCAGAGCCGAAAACCAAGAGGCACGCACGCTGATGCTTAGCCTAGCTGGATCCTTCGCCCAGCAGGATGCGATATTGGAGAAAGCCTCGGACTTGGCTTCCCTTAGAATAGCGACGGTCCCAGTCGCAATTAACACAATAATGGGCAAAGTTCTCATCACAGAAAAGATGGTGGCCGACGAGATAGTCAGGGTCACCAAAGCTGTCCCGGTAAAAGTTCGCCCACACGGGAAAAGCCGACCGAGCGCCCCATACCAGTCATGGGTAGCCCTTTTTGAAAAAGCATCGATTCCTCGGTCAGGCTTCCGACTTTTCGACGACTCTGGGATTGCAGTCCGCCACCAGCCTCGTCAAAGCATCAACCAGTGCAAACGATGCCTACAGTTTCATGGCACCAGGGGCTGCTCGCGTGCCCCAGCTTGCTGGAATTGTACTTCAACTATGCATTCCATCCCGGAGTGCAAGGCACACACCAAGTGCCGCAACTGCGGAAGTCCACACAGGTCAGCTAGTCGGGACTGTCTAGCTCGCCCTACAAAGTCTGGGACGGCCTCCGTGAAAACCTACAGACCATCAGGCAGGCTAGCCAACGCGAATTCGCGGCAGTTACTCGGGCCTAAGCAGCTGTCAGACGCGCAGAGGCAGCGATGGCAGCAGCCACAGAAGCGTCAAATACTAACCAGCCAGGATTTAAATCGAGCAACTGTTTTGAAGTTCTCATGTCCGACGCTGCAGCAACTGTAGCCGAGGTCGATGAGGCACCAAATCAGCAAAAATCTTTGTGAAGGGCACCCCACGGGTCTCTTCGAGCCTCTCTCCTACTCTAAGCTTTATGTCAATAAACGTAGGTAGAGGGGGCTCAACGCAAAACATTGCGCTTGCCCGAGCATTTGAGCTGGGTATCGACAAGGTTCTTGTTCAAGAACCTCTGTGGAATAAACAAAAGAATACAACAAAGGATCACCCAGGATATACCTATCATCTGCCTAACGGCGGCGAAAATGTTAGGCCGAGGGCTGTGACCTATACCCGGATAGACGATAAAAAGATATCGGCAACACAGATCTTTCCTTATGTTGTGTCTACAGGAGACTATTGCTGGGTAGAAGTGAACGGCATTACTTTTCTCAACGTCTACAAGGCACCCAATGACTCGACAGCTATACAGCCTCTCATCAACAGGATTCCACCGCCAAACTCCGTCGCTGCTGGGGACTTTAACTCGGTATATTGGGCTTGGAAACCTGGCGTGGAACGTCCTCATGGACAAGGAGAAATGATCGAGAGATGGGCAGACAAACACCATTTGATCTGTCATATTATTGGGGAGCCCACTCACCGAGCTGGAAACACGCTAGATCTAGTTTGGAGTAATGTCGACGGCGCCCGTGCTTAGGTAGATCGTGGTGGATGTGTCACCAGCGATCACTTGCCTATCCGAGGACAAATTCCAGTTCGAAACTCAGTGATGAGACCCGAAAAGGCAAAACTCCGAGTAACAAAGGATAAGCTACCCAGATACGCCAAGGTAATTGTACAGTGGGTCCGACCACCACCAGTTCTTGACCCAATTGAGAGGGTTGAAGAGTATGCCGAGGAAATTTGTTTCCATCTCACTAATGCAATCAATGCAGTAGGAACACGACCAAAAGCCCGCTGCGGCAGATCTGCTCCGTGGTGGACCCCAGAGTGCAAGGCAGCCTTCGCCGAGTACAAAAGCGCGATAACTCCCAGCCAACAGGCACTCTGCGCGAAATAGCTCCGATCAGTTGTGAAGACCTCGAAAAAGGAGTTCAAAACCCAACAGGTCGAATCAATTACTACGCCGAATGATGTATTCAAGCTAATGAGAATGGATAACCCTAGACAGGCTAGTATCCCTCCGCCACTGAACCATAATGGGAC